GTACCATCGGGGCTCGTGGGTGTGTTTTTGGACTGCTGTCTCTCAGGCGGATCCCTGCTGCAAGCTTCTTGATCGAAGGCTGGGCTGACACAAAGGTAACATGGATCTGATGCAACAATCCTGGAGTATGAAGACTCAAACGGGTACATAATCCGCACGCAAATTTCTATGTATGCATACAGAAAGCATCGCACCGTAGGGTACGTACTGTCGTCATCCTACTTGCTTCCAGTTCCGCCTGTTCCTGTCGGAGAGCAGGATAGGCTCGGCCTGGCATTGTCCAAGAGAGGAAAGGGACAAGAGCGGCGAAGGCAAAAGTCAGAGTCAGAGTAGCCTTGAGGGTGTTGGCCATTTGAGGCAAAGTTAGTGTGGAGTTGTTGGAACTAAAGTACGGGCTCAGATAGGAGTTGACGTCTCTTTGTGGCTGCAGGGAGCGAGCATCAAGCCCCATGAACCCACTCTAAACTACCCTAAACCCTAAACCCCCCCCAAGCCCTACATTCTAAACCCAGAAACACCTAAACTCTGCATAGCCGGCCTCAACCTCGGAACCAGAGAATTGCCCCACTAAGAGGCGGAAGTTCTCCTGGGCCCGGGTCGGAGGGTTTAGAGTCATACACTATCCAGTAGCTATCCTGAGGATGGGGAAAGCAAAGCAGAGATGCCTCGAACCCAAAACCGAAAAACTCTAGCCCATGTATACGGTTCACAAAAGCGGTATAGGGTGTTTGCAGACGGTTTTTGTTTTGTTTGGAGTTTGGACCGAGCTCAATGCCGGAAAATCGAACCTCCAACCAACGCACTCGACCTTCAAACATGAATCCAATTTCCGGAAATTAAATGAAAGAGCGCGTGCGAACTCCAACAACACCCAAGCCCACAAGAGAGCCCTGCATCCCGAGTTCGTGGAGTGGGCTGCCCCTGCCCACTAACCCAATTCCTAAACCAAACCCGCGACCAAGGCACGGCGAGGGGGAAACCGCCATCGTCGAAAACCAGAAACCAATCGAAGAGGCTCGATTCGTTACCTGCATGAAGGGCACCCCTTCGTCTCTGAAACTCGCGAAAGAGAGGAACAGAAATCAAGCTTGGGGTTTCAGGGTCGGAGCTTGGACTTGAGATTTAGGGATAGAGGTAGAAGAACTGTTCTGGCTTTGCAGGCCACCTCTGAACCACCCTGCAGCAACTGCAAGCAGAAGAGCCTCAAGTGTCAAAAAGAAGATTGAAGAACGCAAACACCTCCCGTTGTTGAATAGGGCGACCGTTTTGGCAAAATACATCTCTCTCGGTATCCGCATGCTGGCAAAACAAGAGCCCTTCGGCCACATCCTGCATCCTGAAGCCTGAATTCTGAAAGCTCAAAAGCTTAAAACCCACTCCCCGAACCCCGAAACTCTAAACCCTAAACCCCTAAACCCTAAACCCTAAACCTCTAAACCTCTAAACCCTAAACCCTAAACCCTGAACCCCAAACGAGTCGCGCTGGAGGTAGCGCACCAGCCGTCGAGTCCGCAGCCAACGGAAGGCAGTTCCAGCTGGGGTGGGCCTGTTGTGGGCTTTGCGCGTAAAGGGCCTAGGCTTCAGGACTTCACGCGGCTTGGGACTTCAGGCTTCAAGACTCTACGGGCTTTCAGGCCGTAAGGTTTCGGCCTTTAGTACTCTAGATGGTTCAGGACTGTATTAGGGATGAGCAGCTGCAAAAACTCTCTGTGCCCCTGTGTGTCAAAGCAGCGCCACAGAACCTGGAGGACCGACTTTTTCGAGAGCCTACCTGCAAGCGGGAAAGCCTGGCCTGAAGTCGACGGGCGGGTCCTCCAGTGCGGATGCAGCATCCTGTGTAGCAATCTGCTTGGTGTTCCTGGGCAGATATCCAAGGCTTCCGATGATAACTTCACAATCCCAACAGATTTTGACCTGCATCGCTCGATATGACTGCTGTTCAGCAAAAGGCTAGAAGCAGGACTGTAATCTGTGGAGGCCCTGATAACAGCATGAACCTCCACGTGCAACAGGACTCTTGCAAAATCAAAGCCAGGAGGCTCATCCCACAAGACGTAGCCATCACAGTGCCTGGGAGGACGCAGGGACTCAGGGGCTGCGTTTCGGTTCAAGGATGATGTAATATATGGCCTCAAACACAGAATAGGGCTCGGGGGGTATAAGGTTGTCGTAGTAATTCTAAAAGGACTAAAAGGGTATAATATTCCTATCTACTCAGGCCGCTGTAGTCGGACCTTTGGGGGCATGCGCCGTGTCGTCGGCGCAAGGACAATGGAGAGCTGCGGACTAGTCTTCAGGGTTTAGGGTTTATGGTTTAGGGCTCTTGGCTTAGGATGTTTGCTTCTATGACTGGGCGTCAAGTTCTTAAAACACTCTTATACCCAATCCCCTTTCTTCTGCAGCCCTGCCACGAGTTTAAGAAACTAAGGGTTCCTCGACGTAGACTCTAGTAGTAGGCTCCTAATTATGGGTCAGCAGCCCACAAAGAAGCTTGCAAACACAAGTTTATTGAATGAAGGACTGTATAGAACCCCTCGAAGCACCATACGAAACCATGCGAACATCACGCTCCCAGTGGAGTTAAAGCCCGAACTAAACAACTCCCTCCATTGTCTGACTCACTCTCAGGTACCCCAAAGCTGCCGAAATCCCTTAAACCCTACCAAATTCCAAGAGCCCAGATTTTACGAAACCCTAATTAGACCGCCCTACACCCGAAACGACTAAACCCCCCCACCCTAAAGCCGACAGTACTTGAAATCCTGAAATACTATATAAACCGCAAACCCTCTGAAAGCACTAGCAACCTTTCAGTACCAACTTCTGAACCCTAAAGCACCAAACATCTTACAACGCTGAACCCTAAACTGCCAAAAACCTCCAACTGACGAAACCTTAACCCTAAACCCTGAAACACCCTTTAAAATACTGAAAATCGTAGATCACTGACCCCTAAACCCGGGCGCCGAGCCTGGCCCAGGTCCTGTGAGCCGCCGAGGCGTAGCCATGACGAGCCTCCCACTGAACGGCGGTTGATGATATAAATCCTGCACTGCCCATAGTAAGGAAGATACCATAATTCCCATAGTGTTGGGTCCTCAAGGTAATGCAGGATTTATATCATCAACAGGAGTACAGGGATTTAGAGTAAGTTTAATGTTTACAGGATCTGGGTTTAGGGGCTTAAGAGTTCAGTGTTTAGGGTTTAAGTCTTGGGGTTTGGGGTTTAAGGCTTAGCGTTTGAGTTTTGGTATTTAGGGCCTTCGGGTTTAGGGTTTACGGTTTGAGTTGGAGGGCCTACGGTGTTGGGTTCACGGTGTTTCCGGTGTTGGGCAGTTGAGGATTTCGGGTTCAGGGTTTGGGGTGGTGGGTAGTTGAGGGTTTAGGGCCCCTACCCCGGTTTCCAAGAAGCCCACCAGCTTTCCTGTAAAACTACCAAGGTGTAGTGTCTCTCCTTTGGGTTTGACAAAGACGTGTGCGGCTCTACACAGTACTACTACCACTACGACGAGAAACACTAATAACAATATTAGTAGTAATCCAGACCCGGAAGTGCCCCGTCGCTCACCTCAAAGACTATGAACCCGAAAACTCTGACTGCGGCACCGCCACTGTAGCCGTGATCAATCAAGCACAAAGTGAAGCAAGCTCTCACATTGCTATATTATTGCTATTATGACTACTAGCTTGGTGATTACTATTCTATGCATTATCACTATTGTTACTGTTATGACTACTATTTCTATTATGACTATTGATTGTTACCAATATATCCATTATTACTCTTAGTACAATTCATGCCACCATTACTATGATTACGACTACTGCTATTACTACTGTCTTGATTGTGATGATGATTGTTGTTCTGCCTCTCCGGCCTCTCCAACCAGGTCTCGGGATTAGAGTTATGAGGATGTTTGTGAAGGTCCTACGAGGCTATTGCAGGCTTCTACCGGACATACTGCAGTCTATTATGGTAGATATGGCATGCAATGACGTCTTGCAGTATATAGCAATACGTTATGGGCTTTGGAGTCAGAGCTTTACTGGTTGCGGCTTTGGGTGGCTGGGAGTTTCGACTTCAGCAGGACTGCAGGAGGATCCCACTGAGGGTGCCGGGCTCAAGGTTCCTCATGGTGGCTGCAGCGCGGATCAAACTGCGTCTGCTTAGCTTGATGTGGCTTCTCAAAGAGCGTCGTCGGGTTTCAAGCAAGGCGTCCCTATTATATTTGCAGTATAATGGGCCCCAAAACCCTCTTCTAATTATTAAAGCCGCTATATTATATAGGGCTATTATTGCTAACTCTAGCTCACATGGCCGAAGACTCTCAAGCCATGTTATGTTGGAGCGGAGATAAAAGGTTACTTGGAGCTCCAGCGCCTGAGTTGCCAAGTCTATCGTATCCAGGGCTTGTATGTTTGCAGCCGGTTCTCCCTCTTAACAGACTGCATACCAAGTGCAGTTGTCGGTAAGGGCATGATGTAAGACTTTGATGCCTCGGAGTCTGTCGAGAATGCACTGGTAGATTTGTAAGTCATCATCGTCTTAACAGGACAGACCATCTGCACACCAGTTTGTCCTTGCTTGTGGAGCGCTTCTGCGACCATCAGAGCTGCTACGAAACTTAAAACCTGAGTTTGTTGTCGGGGAGGAGGCTTCTGGGATGGGTTCTGAGGTTGGCTTAGCTTCGTTCCGGCTCTGGGATCATGGCTTCCTGTCTTCGTTCAGATCTCAGAAAAGGATGCCTTGAGAATCTGGGCTTGCAGGATGCAAGCGGTGGCCCTCACGAGGCCAAAACTAAGCATGCAAGGATGCAAGGATGCTCCCCGCTCCCGTCACAGATGTCCGAAGAGAGGCGGGGAGGTCTCCAGGCTCCGAAAGCAGAAGTTAAAATCGAGAGCCTACGCTCTTTGCGGCTTTGGGGTTTGGGATCTCACACGAAGACGCCGAAATCAAGCGGATAAACACCCCACACATCTTCGACGACACGAAGATCGACTCAAAGCGCGCCGCGCAGTCTAGCGGCTTCCTCAAGAGTTCGAAACTCGGGTGACTGCCGCTCACTGTCTGGGAAACCGGACCAAGTGAAAAGTTTGATCTCGTCCATGTACCTGACGAGGATCCAGCCCCTAAATCCTAAAACCATGTCAGTGACAGGCTACAGCCTCTGTTGGGATCATAAGCTCATAGGGCTCAGGGAGCCCCCTGAACTCTGAATCTTAAACCCTAGACTCAAAGCCTCAGCCAAAAGCCCCGAAAGGATGTCTTCGGAGCCGCCGAGATGCTTCAGGAACTCGCTGTAATAGGGCTCATTAGGCTCACCATCTCCCCGGAGCACCTGCCATGAGAAAGGCTTTAGGGCTTAAGGGTTTAGGGTTAAGGCGTAGAGTAGGGTTTCGTAGGATTTAGGATTCAGGGGGTTTAGGGCTTAGCCTCGCAGAAAAGGGCCTTCAAGAGCTTCTATGAGTGCCTTACGAGGCATCAGGCTCCACGAGGCTTCTTCAACGGTTCTTGTCTGGGATCCATCAGGCTTCATGCTTGTTTCACACGGGCTTGGGGAAACGGTGGGTTTCTTGAGACGAGCCCAGGTCTTCGAGGGCCTTCATTGCCACTTAGGGCTTGAAAAACACAAGACATAATCCCCGGTCTTAGGTTCTTAGTAATTCGAACAGGGTTTTGCCGTAAACTATAGGAGAGCTACAGCATCTGTATACGCTGCATCAAAGGTCGAGGATAGAGGTCTGACTAACTGCTATTGCCAATAATGCCCCTATGGCCCTATGGTCCTTATAGTCCGTTTATGAACAACCAGTCTCTGGAGGCATGTCGCAGGCGCTTATCATCGCAAACTTGGGTCCACAACGAGTCCGCGTCTGAGTCGCACTACATGTCAGAGGATCTTCAACTTCCTCCAGAAATCGAGTCTTGAGATCCTCGGAAGCCTCTAGCTGCCAACTGTTTGCACAAGGCCTTGACGAAGTTGTAGCCGCCGAACGGACAGAATGTGCAAGTCCCTCAGGAAGCTGGAAGGATTGAACATCGCTTTGGGTTTGATGGTTCTGGCTTCCACACCACGCCGTCTCACTCCAAACCTATCTGTCCAGTATCCCAGTAGAACGAAACTGAGCCTTTGGGACCAATATCAGGATTAGAGAACACCAAAACGGTTCAAGGCGACCTGACATACCCTGTTCCAATTATAAAGGCCCCATATTATAGAACTTTATTGATTATACATCCCTTCTAGTAATATAGAGCCCTGAAAAAACCCTCTTCTACTTATCTCTGCTTCTTTCAAAAGGCCTGGGCCCCACATTATAGAACCTTATTGATTATATACCCCTTCTAGTAATCCTTTTCCTTATATAGAGCCCTGAAAAAGGCCTGGGCCCCACCAGATACCGCGCTTCCAGTGGCTGCCCGGCTCCGGTAGAGTGCTCGGCCTCGAGGCTTAAGAGTCGAAGCTTCGGGGCTCTTTGGGGGCTTTGGGGGTTTTGGGGCTTCTGGGGGTTTTGGGGTTTTGGGAGTTTTTAGGGTTTTGCGGTTTTAGGGTTTAGGGGTTTAGGGGTTTAGAGGTTTAGGGTTTTGGGGTTTGAGGGTTTTAGGTTTGAGGGTTTGAGGTGTAGGATTTTGGGCTCAGGGTTTGAGGGTTTTAGGCTTAGGGTTCGAGAGGCTTTTTTGGGGGGTTACATGGTACGGTGTTTAAAGCGTCAGAGACTTCCGAACGTAGATTGTATTTATCCGTTTCCTGTCGTCTATGGAATCTACAAGGGTGTCTGTAAGTCGTAGAGCCCTTCTATGTGAAGCCTAGGATGTCGGTATTTGTGTTCTTGCTGGCGTGTTGCTAAGATTGCTAGACTGCGACGCATACGAGTATTGCAAGTGTTCTGGAACTCCAAGCATGTGATGAATATGGCTTGACGTTGAGGGCTTTAAGGGTATCCCTAAACCACAAAACATCAAAACTCAGGCATTCATGGACGCTGATGGAGGCCAGCTGCTGGAGCTCGAGGGTGAACTTCCCACCTGCCACAGAGAAGAGGGTGAACTCGACGGCCCTAATTACGAATCCACGGCATGATAGTCAGGTGTACACGTACATCTATACTTCTCTGTATACGTATATACACATACATATATATATATATATAGATGCTTCTGTATATGTTTATTTATATATTGATTTGTTTAAACAATACATGCACACACGCATGGCATATGCGCATTCATACGGCGGAGGTCGCTGAGAAATCTCAAGTTGCTCCAAAGTGTTGACTCAGGTTGACAAGGAACGGAGATTGCCATGCTTCTCCGATGTAGTCAGAGAGTTGTGCCAGTCGCTGTCAAACGTCTCGGTGCGGTTTAGGGTGTAGGCTAAGACAGATGGAGCCCAGCGGTTCCCAACCCGCAGCTCCATGGGTTTCCTGGGTCAAAAACCCAGGCCCGAGATTCTCTGGGTAAGGTTTGGAGTTGACAGCATATCGGGGCCTCAACAATTCAGACTGGACTTTTTGCAGGTACATTACTATAGTTACAATCGGGACCATAAGAGCCTACCACCACCACCACCACCACCACCACCACCACCACCACCACCACCACCACCACCACCACCACCACCACCACCACCACCACCACCACCACCACCACCACCACCACGACAACTCCTACGACGACGACTACTTACTAAAAATGCTACGACTGCTACCTCTTTTTACTTTTTCCTCTACGTCTGCAAACTCGAAAGCCGCTGCCCTGAGATCCCCGCGGATGCACGTCAAGCAGGAGCAGGGCGGGAGGAGGCTTCCGACGTTCACCATGTCCTGGAAGCAGAGCTTCCGGCAAATCAACCGAAGGTTTCGGGTTGAGGGCTTACGTGGTTAGGACTTCAGCTTGAGGGTTGAGGCTTCGGGCGTTAGCTTTTGATTTTGGGCCTTTGGAATTTGGATCGCTTCAGAAACAGGGTGGAACTGCTTGGAGAAGTCATAGAGCTGAGAAGATCACTAGAAAAGGGACTCTGGGAGCATCTGACGAGACTTCGACACGGCTTTACGCTAATAAGAAGGCATGCTGCCCAGTAGTCGCCACTGAATCTCCTCAACTCATGGGATGATACTTAGGGAAGGATGGCAAAGGACTTCTTGAACCCGTTCGGGTGGTGAATCCGTTACAAGCGGTCCTTCCCGCCTTGAAGATGAAAAGCCCTCAAACCCAGATGAAAATTGCCATCATACCCTGCCCTTCGAGGCTCCATAAGGAGTCTCAAACACTGCCTTACTTATTTATATTAAATGTGTCGGAAAGGCTTTCAGGGAAGTCACGTTGTAGTGTCGGTTGTTGGGACTATCAGGGGAGGCTAGTACAACAGAGCCGGAGCCCAAGATCCTCGACGTGACAAACCCAAACCGCGAGAGGGCCCACCCTTGTTGGGCTGCAGAGTGCATGCACGCACAGAACCTACACAGTCCACTCGAACACAAACTGCCTCAGCATATAAGCCCACCAAAGTGTACACCTCAAAGCGAGCAAGCTGAGATATTTGCATACTAGTTTGCAGGTTCTTCTTCGCCTAGCTACCCAACTCTACTCCGCTCTATACGAACACACTTCAAAAACCGACTACCAACTGCTCTCAGGTGATGTAACCTCCCAAACATGCCAATAGCATCCTTATGTCACATGGCATAGAGTGCGTTCTTTAGGATAGGGTTTCCGCCACAGCTGCGTTTCTCAAGTTCCAGCATCTCAGAAGAATCTTGACGGGATGACGGTTGTTTCTTGTAGGGCTGAAGCTCCGGGTGCAAGAGCATCATACAAGCTAAGATCTATCTCTAAGCTGCGCGAACAAACCCCAGACCAAGGGCCTTGGTCAAGTCTGAGCCGGCTTGTATAACAGCGTAGGTCAAGTCCTGCCAAGTGTCTGAGATTAACCCCACGATTCTGCAGGGCTCCTTAGCTGAAGTTCATTACAATATGCTATAATGTGCCTGAACATCTGGACATCTATTTGCAGTACTAAAGCCCCTAAACCGGCTTCGGATCTTGTGCTTTTTGGTGGCGTTGGGAGGTGAGTTCAGGGTTTTGGGGGGGTTACGGGGTTGAGGGCATGGGGGAGTCTAGGGTATTGAGGGTGTTGGGGTTTGAAGGCATGAAGGTTTGGGGTTTAGGTTCCAAACTTTGTTTCAACTGTCCGGCCATGGCTACCATTGGGATCTGGAGGGTTTATTTGGCAGGGTTGTCGGGTTGTCAAGGGTCGGAAGAGGCTTTCAAGGTGCGCCCGGATCCCTTAAACTCTTAAACACAAACATAGGTCTGTTTCGGGATGACTTTTCTTGGACGTCTACATACTCCTAATTGTCAGAGGCCACCAGGTGCTTGACCTGGTAACCCTCGACCACTTCGACGGCAGCTGTTTCATCCCCTTCTCGACCCTGAACCAAGACTTTACCTCGCTGAAAGCCCAAAAGACCCACGCTGTCAAGCCTAAACTCCCTCAGCACCAAGTTAACCAAAACCCCAAACCAGAAAGTCCCGCACCCAAACCACTTCTTCACCGACATGTCATTTCTTCCTGTCTAGTTCTAAAGGGAACGTGGGAATGGATTAAGGAGACTATTATTGGGGGTTATATAGGGACTACTATAGGGATCCATGCCCCCATTCCCTCCAGACAGTCTTTCCCCCGTTGGGTCTCCTCGCCGGAGAACTTCAGCGAGTAGGTGGCGGGAGAGGGTGGCCTGGGGAGGCCAGTCCCGCAGAGGATGCCTGCGCTCTCTTCCGAGCTGAGAATATGGGGACCTTAATAATTAGACTAGAGTTTGGGGGTACATTATACTGTAGTTGTAATAAGGAACTGTTGATGCTTTGTAGGGAATGGGGGAATGGACCCCTAATGTAGTCCCTACTCCCTACTAAGAACCAGACAGCGTTCTCTTCCGGGCTGACAGGGCCGAAGAGGCACTTACGGGATTTCCGACTTAGAACTGAGCGATTCAGGCATCAGGATCATGTGCGGCTTCAAGACAATAGTACACTCTCGACTATTTATAGGGGTTTGCAATGTCTGGGCTTTATGGGTTCTGGGGTTTACGACCCTCAAGACAAACGGTTTACACTTATTGAGATTAGGCCTGCATTGTATTTCGTATCCAAAACAGGGGCCTTAGTTAAAACAAGATTGCGCTAATTGTATAATGCGGACTACAAGGGGATCTTGCCCAAACCGTCAAACCGCTCGTTTGCCGTTCGGCCCAACTTCTTCCACTCTTTCAGTAGCGGAGACCTCACCCTACAGCAGGTTATCCACGATGGTAAGACCTAGTCGCGCTTGTCAGCTCTTAGCTTATTATAGCTGTGAGGGTCTGAAGATTCCGGGTTCTGCCTGCTTCAGGATAGCAGGGCCTGAGCTCTCTAGATGCCAGGATTCAAGAGTTTTTGGGCCAATGCAGGGCGTAGAATGTAGAGGCTTTGGGGTTTGACGAATTGCAAAAACCAAAAATGTGATATGCAGCAGCAACAGCCCAAACTCAAGGCAGTGCTGTAGGCAACCCTGAACCCTGAACCCCGAATATAGGTTTGGCGCCCATGATACTTTAATGAGGAAAAGGAATCCCCAAAATAGTACAGGCAATTATTGAGGCCCCCTAGAAAAAACCAAACCAAGCTGCGTGCACCGACCATGGTCGTTGTTGGACCATACCTGGCCGACTCCGGCCAGCCCCTTTAACACGGAAGACTAGACCCAAGAGCTCTCAAAGAGTGCTCTAAGACAAAAGGACAAGCCCTAAAGCCCTAATCCTTCAATACCCCGAATCTAGAGGATGCGAGCTCCTCCCAGACATTCTTGCAAGACTGTGAGGCTATGTGTTACAAAAAGATGACGGGGACTTGTGCCTTAATAGAGGTATTGGGACACGGCGTACTTTGATTGTAACTTGCTCAGTAGTGAGGCTCCTGCTTTGGTTCAGGGTCACGGGAGCAAAGCAACATCATCAGCAAAAGAAGGATCCCCACAAAGACCTGAGTACGACTAATCCTTCATACAAGGACCCCCGATGAGGGGCCCCTACATTTTCACAGCGACCCTTATCTTTAAGTATAGCCACAGCAAGGTTGAACACCTTACGAAACCCTATCATTCTGAAACACAGCCACGCACCAAAGCTCGGAGACAAGCCACTTCAATCCGAAAATCGCGATCCCCGCTTCTAGAACCGAGAGGCCACGAATCGGTGTTCTAGGATTTCAGAGGGTAGTCTATAGGAACCCTGGACGATAAGACCGAGCCGTGGCGGGGTCTTGTACCGTAATTAATTAGCTATATCAGGGAAGCCTGAGGGGCGGTATCTGGCTCCAGGTTTAGTTAGGTCTTGTGTAAGAGCTCCAGGATTTAGGGTGTCAGGGCTTAGATTTCAGGACGTAGGGCTTTGGAATACTCTTTGAGTGGTATTCCGGTTCAGTACAGGAAGACTGCCCATTAAATCTCGGAGGGGGTCTGGCTGAGATCCCAGGCCAGATGCCTTGATAGTTATCCATATTATTACTGAGGGCTCTTTAGTATAAGTAGTATATAATACACCCCAAAGCCCTAGTCTTATTGGTAAGCCCGAGACAAGGGCAAGGCACATGGCGCCCCAGTAGGGAGCCTCACTGGGCTTTCCTGCGGGCAGCAATTGCTCAGGCTTCTTTATAAGCACTGTCCAGCTGATCAGGAGAGACAACCTATGCAGGTGGTTTTCGATCTCGCACTGAACTGATTGGGGTTCGAGTGGCTACTGGTGGCTCTTGCATTCGTCTGGGGAATTAAAGAAAACAAGCACGAACACACCTGGCCTCTTGCGTTCGCCTTCAGCCACTTGTTTCACCGAAGGTTTCATCTCGGCATCTTGCGAAGTTTGTACCAGTCTTGGGACAATCGTTGACTAGGGCCCGCTTTTCGGGCTCAAGCACAGGAGCAGGTTTCTGAAGCACGGCTCTCATCCCTCGGCAGCAATCCCGTAAGCCCATGAAGCCCAAGTCCCAAACAAATGCCAAGCTCCAAACCCTATTTCCTAACGCGTTTCAAGCCAAAACACACATGCCCGCACTGCTAAACGTGGGAACCAGTCCTGCTGGCCAGGCCCACATGAAGGGTGCCATCGGCGTGATGAGGATCTTCTCCTCGGTTGAGGTGTCAGGGCGTGGCGAGAGCAGTAGCCCAAGTTGGGACAGCAAAGTTGGTGGAAGCTTCCAATGATGAAGACTGAGTTCCATGGCACTGCTATCTGAACCTTTCCTCGATCAACATCTGCAACACCAGCGTGAAATTCTATGGCCAAGTGGACTGGAGGACCATGGCTTCAACACTGGGCAGAGCATCCCCAAGCCCTTTAAGACTTGAGCTTCAAAGGCGCAGGAATCTCCTCAGCTCCTACGTCCTGCACAAGAGAAGCTCAACATCGAAGTGCCGGGCCTTCTCAAACCACCGGCCGTACTGCAGCACCATCAGCTCTTCCCCTGCGGGTCTGAGGGGAACTTAGGCAAAAAGACTCTGAGGCTTCGCTTGAAGAGTTTTTCACAGTTTTGGGGCACGTCTGGGATGGTAGCAACAGCTTCACGATAAGGGGGTGCTGTTCTCTGTTGGCGAGAAGTACTGTGCGTTACAAGTTCTCGGTGACGCAGACGGAGTGAAGCGTTGCGGAGATCTTACGTTCGAAGTGGAGCTTCAACAGTTTTACAGATTTGCAATGGCTGGTGGCAATCACGAGATTCATTGCAGGATCTGGGATGTGGAATGTCGAAAACGACATACACATGGCCAGTGTCATCACAACGGAGGAAGCATAGGCATAGGCCCCAGCAAGAAGACTCAAAGCTGCAAGAGTAATCCGAAGACGCTGGTGGACAAATGATTATGGAAAGATCATGCGCCCTCGCCCTGCACCCACCTGCACTGCACCAAGAGGCAGAACACTATGCTCTACTCCATGCAATATGTCAAGTCCCGACGATCAGAAAACTTATAAACCCCTGAGCCCGAAACCTTGAACGCGTAACCCCGAAACCCTTAAACTCCCTACTATGAGGGCCCGATACCGGGTGCATTTGTACGGACCGTAACATGAGAACAAAACATATCTATTGAGATATCCTATAATCTATCATATGAGGGTAACAAAATATTGGGGGATAGCTACTTTAATCACCAATCAGCCCGGAGAAGCCCTGAGGGGCCCGGCCGACGCCGTTGCCCTTCATCCAGAAGACTCCGCGGAGTTTCTCGGGAACCTCCCGGCCCCGGGCTTTTGAGGCTTCTTTGGAGGGTGCTTGAAATTGTCCATGTGGTTCAAATTTGATTCTACAAGGGTTTTCTTGGTTAGGGGACTTGTGTTTCGTGTTTAAGGTCTTTGTATTGAAGTGCTTCGGCTCGACTTGGGTTAAGTGTGCGTGGTTTCGGGTGTCCTGCGGACGATGTCTTACACTTGAGGAAGAACAGCTTGTGGGTTGTTTCCAGCCAGGCGTTGTGGGAAGGTTCGGGAAGAGACGTAGTTTGGCGACTGAAGCCTCGGAACTGATTTAAGCCGCCGTTGCTGAAGCACTGTCGTCTAGAAGATCACAGGGTTTCGGGATTAGGAATGGACGGTTCCTGGCAAAGGGGCACAAAAGAGGCGCACAGCCTGAGCAGCAAACGCCCGTTGCAGACTAGCTGCATTTTCCCAAATCCCGGACACTTTCGTCGCCTCGTACCTGGGCGGTAGCGGGAACATGATAGCCTTCCTGACCCGCATGCCACACGCACCTACAAACATAGTACACATATGTACACACAATTACACACACATACATACATGCAAGCATGCATGCTTACATTCTTACATACATATGTGCCGTACCGTCCTCACCATACAAACCATACAAACTCTACATACAATGGCACTACATTACACTACATTGCATTACATTAGTTTACTCAGCGGCCGGGAAGGGAGGGCGCGGGCCTAAAAAGAAGGGGGAGTAGGGACCCCAGCCCTCACAAAGCGAAAGCCGAGATGCTTCCGATACAGCAACACTTGAGCCGTCATGTTACGAACGCAAAGGATGATGAAATCTTCTGCACGGTTTGTTGCCAAGAGACAACCGTGCCGAATGTAAGTTGGCAGCGGTCTTGGAAAAGGAATAGAGGCATGCGTAGCCGACCAAATTGATTTTGTTCTACTCTGATTCAGAAGCAGCCACGCCTCTAAAAAATCTACCGCCTCGATCGGGGCATCGACGACTTTGGCCTGCTTCCGACCACCATCGCTTGCAACAACAGCGCGGAACAGCGTAGAAGCACAACGTCATAAGCCATTAATTGTAAGCCACAGACACCAAGAGTCCTCGTCGCCGTCCAAATCAGCTCCAACGAAAACATAACCCACAACCTGGCACGCCTCTTTGACACACAGGCAACGCGGATGCACACCAAGCAGCCGCCGGCCATACGAGAATTCAACATGCTGCGTTGTTTCCGTCCGACCATAGTCGGCCATGTTCATGTGCTGCTTACGGCCCTAGTATGCCGAGCCCTAGTCGGACGGCTCATTATCTAGATTCGTATACTGCGATGCTACGGGCTTATTTGGAGAAACAAGAATCAGCAGTCAATAGTTTTTGGCCCGGAAAATGCTTCTTTAAGTGTTATGCTCATTCTCATGTTCTTGATGCCAATGCAACCAGAACTAAGCTTGATTCGCCCGCTCCTGTGCTTTCAATGCCAATGCAATGAGTCTCTGCCCAATTCACAATTGAAAAGCTGCAAGCAGCTTCTGGAGGGCCGTATTTGGGCTTTGTTTGAGCATTGTTTTGTTCTGTTGGGCTCCTGTTCCGTAGATCTGTGGCGCCTTCCTTGTCGTCTCTAAGGCCCAGGCGCCTTATCCGTTAAACCACTATGCCACTACCGCGAATGACTGCGCTTGTCCTCGACGCGGCGGGTGCTTGGCCCACCTCCGATCAAAATTAAAGTGCCGGCCAACTCCCCCATACCGAATTCCACTACCCATAAATACTGAACAACTGTACTTGTACCCTAGTCCCTACAATCCAGGCACTTTAACTTTGATCGGGCCTGGGGGGTTCGCAGCTGTCTAGTCGTGCGCCCAACACAGTGCCTGACAAAAGCGCGCAACCAACAAACACACACACACGCACACACACACACACACACAATAAGGAATGTTACAGCTCCTCCCTGCAAGCCCTCCCGGCTCTGAGACATGGTTGCGGCGTCAACCGCGACCGCGCGGCGACAGCGCATTGAGGGTTTCACAGTGTTTAGGGAAATGTTGTTTTTTTCGGCATTTTTGCGCATTTGTGTTTGGAAGTGTGCGGAGCCACTAGTCAAAAGTGTCGATATTTCCACGACTTTGAAGACCAATGTGTAGAAAACACTGGCTGGCGTGGCATTTTCGCAACACGCTGTTCGAGCACCTTGAAGTGAAAACTTGTTCAGGCTGTTTTTTTTGTGACTTGTCCTGTTGTTGTTGTGGTGGTGGTGGTGGTGGCGGTGGTGGTGGTGGCGGCGGTGGTGGTGGTGGTAGTGGTAGTGGTAGTGGTGCTGGTGGTGGTGGTGGTGGTGGTGGTGGTGGTGGTGGTGGTGGTGGTGGTGGTGGTGGTGGTGGTGGTGGTGGTGGTGGTGGTGGTGGTGGTGGTTCGTTGTTCTTCTTGTTGTTGTTGCTGCTCTTCTTCTTGTTGCTTTGAGCTTGAAGGCTTCACAGATGTCTGTGGTTGTTGTTACGAGCTTCAGGGCTTCACGCAACTCTACGAGACTTGTTTACCGCGCTTTGCTCGCTTTGTGTGCCAAAGCTCCTAGGGCAGACCAGAGGTCGGAACCGTTGTTACGGCGAAACTCGAAACTAAGCACGTAGTCAAAGATCCTGGGATTAAAGGGCAGCAGGCATCAGCAGTAGTAGAGCTAGTCTGAACATAAAGCACTAAAGGGCAGCAGGCATCAGCAGTAGGAGAGGTAGTCTGAACATAAAGCACTAAAGGGCAGCAGGCATCAGCAGTAGCAGAACTGCTAAGAGTGGAACAGGTTCGTCATTAAGCCCCCCCCCACCCCCCCCCCCCACCCCCCGAAGCCTAAAGGGCAGCAGGCATCAGCAGTAGGAGAGCTAGTCTGAACATAAAGCACTAAAGAGAACTGCTAAGAGTAGAACAGGTTCAGTAGGAGAGCTAGTCTGAACATAAAGCACTAAAGAGAACTACTAAGAGTAGAACAGGTTCGTCATTAAGCCCCCCCCCGGCCCCCCCACCCCCACCCCCCACCCCCCGAAGCTTGAAAACATGCAAAAACCTGCAAAAACCCTGCGGTCACCCCTAACGCCGCATGCTGAGACATTCGACAAACTACGACGCCAGTCAAACACCAATCACACGCGAAAATAAACCGAAGCTGACAAACCAAGACCAGCAAATCAACGAGAACGAAAGAAATCTTGCAACACTGGCAGCTTAGTGCAATTTTTCTGCTGTCTTTAGCACCACGCCACTAAGCTTCAAGTTGCATTAGCTTCTTCCCGTCTATCTAGCACCCAGCCACCATTTTGGTGCTGTATTTAGCACCAGCTGGATTCACTCCTTAGGCTTGTTGTTTTCGGCAAAAGTTTGCTATGGGATTCACTCCTTGGGGTTTTCGTCTTGGGCGTTCACTCCTCAGGTTTTTCGTCTTGGCTTCAAGTTTCCTGCTGGATTCATTCTTTAGGGGTTTTCGTCTTCGGGAAAAGGCTTCGGCTGGATTCACTCCTTGTGGTTTTCGTCCCGGCTATTTAGCGTTTTCGTTTTGGGTCGAAGTTTCCTGCTGGATTCACTCCTCAGGGTTTTGGTGCTTTCAAAAGGTTCCTGCTGGGTTCACTCCTTAGGGTTTTCGTCTTCGTCAGGGAGGGATGGAGGGAGGGAGGAGGGAGGGAGGGTCACAGTTGAGGTTGTCGTGATTGTGGTACAAACTTTGGAAATGCCCCGCCTTTGCTCCTGCAAGGTGGCAGGCCAGATGACCATTTGTTTAGGGTTAGGGGTCCAGGTTCCCAATGTCTAGGGTACCAGCCTGCCGTATCTGTAAATTGCCGAAGCAGCTGCATTGTCATGGTAGCTGTGGCTTCCGCACGTCGGCTTAAACTTAAGGCCCGTTACTGGGGGCTCGGCGGGGTAAGTGGCGCAGGTGGGGTAGGTGGGGTAAGTGGGGCAGGCGTGACTAACCCACGTACCCCGCCTGCCCCCAGTGACACACCTACCCAGCCTACCCCCACTGCCTCACCTCTAAGCCAAAAAAATATCTCAGACCGAAAGAATTTAGAACTAACCCTGCTGCCAGCTAAGCTACGAACATCTGACGCTAAATTTCACACTTCGGGCTCAAGTTGCACAGAAGCCCTGAAGGCAATCAAGTTTAGCCCCACAGCCCCGGAGCCTGCGCCTTCCATCCAGTGTTCACAGAATTTTAAAGGAGCTTGGATCAGGCAGTCCTCCAAGCAATTCGGCTATGCCGAACCTTCACTGTAATTACACCAAACCTAGCAACAAGTGCCAGCTCAGGCAAATACTTGTTTCTATGAGTGTTCCTGCGCGGACTGATCGCCGTCGTTACGAGAATTCCTAAGCCAAGCTTCACAAGCCTCAAACCGCACACCCTCCACTGCATCCCAGGCACATCATTGACAGCCTCAGAAGTGGCCGAACCATAACTTGAGCCGTTTCTACAGATCAAGTGCACTAGCGGTGAGTTTAACATCCCTTCCTGTACCGAAATAGAGAGTCGTGTTATGACCCAGACTCATCCATCACGGTTGGAACGGTCATCCTGACGTCGATGATGCTGACGTAGCTTCGGATGGCGGTGATGATAATCCAACTGTAAGCTTGCTACAATCATGACACGTGGTTACTGTTTCTACTTCTGTTGAAGTTGAATGCTGTTGTTGATGGTGTTGCCGCTGCGGATGCTGATGCTGCTGCTGCTACTGCTGCTGCTGCTGCTGCGGCAATTACAGTTGCTGTTGCCGTTGCTGCTGCTGTGGTGGTGGTGGTGGTGGTGGTGGCGGTGGTGGCGGTGGTGGCGGTGCTGGTGTGCTGGTGTGCTGGCGTGCTGGTGTTCTGGTGTGCTGGTGTTCTGGTGTGCTGGTGAGCTGGTGTGCTGGTGTGCTGGTGACCTGCTGCTGCTGCTGGTGCTGGTGTGTTGATTGCGGCATCTCAGTTGTTGTTAGCAGCAGCGTCACAGCGTGTTTCTGTTCGTCATCACCACCATCATCATCGTCAGCGTCATCGTCATGGTCAGTCGACAGCATCATCAAATGTCGACACCGCAAACAACTAAAAGCCGCCGCCACCAGAAGCGGTAGCAGTACAAGGCAGACAAGAAATGTGAGAGCGCTTTTCTTGTAAAACTGGTAACGATTGTGCTGATGGTGGCCCTGGCACTTGCTGCTGGTGCCATGATGACCCATGGTTTGGCCGGTGCTTCTGCTGAAGCCCGAACGCTGGATGCTTAGGATGCTACAGGATCCCGACCTCTTGACTGTCAGGATTCCCTACGTCTTTAAACCCTGAACCCCTGACGCACAAACCAAAAGCCTCCAAGTGTTAGTCTTCTCGGCTCCCCCTCTTCAGGGCTCGCACATACACACAGACAGATGCACGCCAAGCTACATCTCCTTCGCAGACGCATAGCCCACGGTCATCTCAGCCTCCTCCTTGAAGACGACCTGTGGGGCTCCGGAACGAGGGCAGGGTTTATAGATGCGCGATTGAAAGAATAGCACCTGTGCCACAGAAGGTTTGCGGCCTCGGGCTTAGTGTTAGGTTTCGGAATCATGGTGCATTGCCCCTTGGGCACCGAGTTGATTCAGCTGGGGTTCACAATGTCCGGCTTGAGCTCGTTTAGGAATGTAGGGCTTCAGTAAGGTTGGTGGGCGTGGTTTACCAACATAACAATTGCGGACAGTATTCCAAGTCCTTGAGGGGGGATGGCGACCCTCCAGCACTGGAAACTCAGAGTTCTAATACCGGCACCCTAATGATTTGGATAGAGTCTTGGGGTATGTTTGGCAACTTGTAACCAAGAACTCTGAGGAGTATTGCTATCATCAGCGATTCGGGCTACCATTTTGGGCCAGAGATGTTGGGCTCCGGCTTTGACACCGCTTGACCTCCATGTTTGTTGCGAAAGCCCGGCGCAGTGCAGCCCATAAGGGCCTGAACAATAGGGGTTTCGGGGACATTCTAACACACTTGTTTTTGTCTAGGGACTTTTTAGAGCAGCATCTTGTTGAATGATGTCTTGACTTCTTAATTCCCCGGAATCCCCATGCACCAACATCGACGCTCCACAATGCCGCGGCCGGGGTGCTGGTAGGGCAGGAAACTTCTTGCGGTCGGTGAGCTTGTCCCTGCCACGGAAGGGCACAGACAGACATTCCGAGCTCAGCTCAGGGCCTGGTGTCCAATGCTTCAGCGTGGGCTTAGCAGATGGGTATAGTTGTCAATATGATGGGGTCCCTTTTGGGGTACCCCAAACATTAGGTGCCGAATTATTACCGGGACCCAAAAAGGGACCAGAATTTTGACAACCACCCAGATGATGATAGTTTAGTGGTGGTAGTGATCGTGACGAGGTGATGAGGACAGTAGGTTGTGATGGTAGCCCCATGGTAGTGACAACATCTCCGCAGACAACATTCAACGGGGCTCACGAGCCCTGCAAAGACAGACAAGACGACTTACCGACACCGTAAACGAAAGGATGTAAGTCCGGAACGGACCATGTGGGTACAGGTTTCGTGAAATGCAGGGTGCCAGGGCCTATGGCTGCAGGGCTTGGTAGCGTCAATGTCGGACACTATAGCCATCTCTGGACACGAAGGGTTTAGGGTTCAGGGCGCATTGGGTTCGGCGATTGGGGGTCAACCTTGCCTGAGTTTGTCCAGGACGTCCCAGGGCTGCAACTTTGGCATGTGCCACCATCCAAATCTGAGGGCTGTTGCTTAAGGCAGACTCAAGTTTTGAGGGCTGTTGGGGATAATATTGGGTGCTAGGAGGAGGTTTGCAGCTCGAGATTTAGCAGGCCATGAGTCTGGGTTGCCTGCGTTGCAAAACGAATTTTGCTCTGCGGCTTCCAACATTACGGACGGAAGCATCTCTCAGCAAGGTCAAGAAGCCAGAATTGCATAAATACTCTCAACACCTTCAACCGTCAAGGTAGCCGTTCAAAGGAGCCAAAGGACGGGACGCAACACCCTGCACTTCAGTAGTAGCACCAAACAACAGGATGCGATTTCGTTGAAACTCACACGGCAGACAGGCATCGAAGCGTCTCCCAAAGTATTACAACTTCAAGATTTTAGGGTTTAGGGTTTGTGGGCTAAGGGTGCGCGGCCTCATTCAACTCTTGGGTCTTCGGGGTTTTCGAGAGTTCAGGATTTGGTGGAATCCTCACCAAATTTGGGGTGCTCCTGTCCGGCTCTCGTGGCCAGAATTGCAAAGCAAAGACTACGCCTTTGCCCGCTGAGCAACAGCGGGTTGCCCTTGAGGTGCTCATGGATAAACTCATGCGAGATGTTCCTGTGTCAGGGTTTCTGCTTGACGCGGTTCGATTCTACGGTTTGAGGGCTGCAGAACTGCCTGACTTTCGTTGAGAGCAGCTGTTTCCTCTGCGCTTTAAGCAGTAGCAGAACCACCATGTGGATCCTACATGGGCCTCGCTGATGGGAAGCAGATCTGTTCGGGCTCCAATAAATTGCGATCTAACTATGGTCCTGGAGCTCAAGGCATTGAAATTCTCGGGTTCGGGCGGATACCTGCCGAAGAGCACCTTGTTCGTTAGAAGTGGTCTGGCCTTGCAAAGACGGGGCGCAAAGGTTAGGCAAAATCTCCTTTCGAGCAACTGTTACCTCGAGCTGCGAGTGCAGATGAGTTAGAATAGGGTTTGGTGGCATGTTACAGTACACTACACAAGCATTGTAATTGCTCCTAGCTTTTCCAAGACCTCTATGCTACATAACGGCCCTGTCAGGGGGAACTGACCCAAGGCGCAAGAGGGATCCGGCGAACAGTCTAGGGATTGGGAATCCGCTTGGGGTTTGGGGTTTTGTGAAATTATGGTTCAGGGTTTGAATTTCCCGCTGCGTCCTCTCTGGGTTGCAGCAGCAACAGCACGAAGTCCTCAAGCGCGGAGAATTTGGGACTCGTGGCGGATGAGGCTGAAGAGTTTGGGGGTCTGGGAAAGCCGCTTGGATCAACGTTTAGGGTGTCATGGTTTCGTTGCCTCTGAAGCCGAAGTCAGGGGGGGTCAAGAACTACGCCATTCTGCCAGGATTGTTGCACGAGCACGGGGACATGCAACCTTATGAACCGTAGCACGTAGATAACATTATAAACAGACCTATTCACATTACACAAAATAGCACAACAGGAGCATGCCCTGAACCCAAAAGCTCACCATACTCAAAAACACGAGGCCTCTCTCTGCCCTGTAAGGCCCTGAGGTGACCACCATGACCCAACCTCGATTCTCTAATTAGGCTCCAGCTACAGGTAGACCGTTTCTGAGGAAGACCCTTGCATAAGGGGGATTGACTAACCGGGGCTCTGCAGCCAGTATTCCTGTACATTCCCAAGAAGGGTTGCTTGGAAGAACAAGAATATGTTGCCGAAGGCACTCTGCAGGGGCTGTGGTGGAGTCGATCAGCGCATCTTGCTCCGCCATGGCACCCCGCGGTTTTATGAGAGCCTTTGCTTGTACCTTCGTTTGCAGCCTCGGCCTTCTCTGGTTGACAGGTTCGGGTTGGTTCCCTGGGCTCCCTCCTTGCTCCCAGTGCTGGTAAGGACGGTATTCCCGTGAGCATGAAACCATGTTGAAATTGCCACTGCCGATCTGCCTTTTACAAATGGCAGCGGCTGAGAACGAACGCTGACCCTGCTGTCGCGCATTTGAAGTGACTGATGATGCTGCTGATGATTATGAGGATGGCTAAAGAACGATAGTGACGCTGATGGTGCTGATGATGATGAAAAATTATTGAAAGACAGCGGGGTATTTGGATGCTTTTCCCATGGCACCCTAAATGAAGAGGGTGCCATACCTAGATTTTCTATAAGACACCAGAGCACCCTAAAACGAACACCCTGAAACATTATGGGTACTCCAGGATTTATATCCCTGAACCCTAAACCCTATAGATCCCTTAACCTACAAAAGCACCACAGACACCTCCCCAGAGTAAGAAAACCCCCCTGGTATGCGCCTGGTAAGACCGCTCGATGTGCCTCGGCTTGGGTAACATAGGTTTCTATAAAGACGTCCTATAAGGGCCTTAAGAAATAGAATAATAGAATAAGGTTTTGGGGTACATTATACTATAGTTATGGCAAGGAACCACCAAAATACGATTGGTAATCATTAAGGTCTCTCTGGTAGCCCAACACTAGAAACCTTCGGGTGATTTTCAGGATCTGGGGCTTGGACTTTTCAAGGTACAAGGTGCGTGTTTGGATTTCTAGAGTTGCAGAGTATAGGAGTTCATGTTTAGGATTTCAGGTGTAAGGCTTGCTGCTTTGGCTTCAGGGTTGAGGATTCAAGCTGCAGCGTGGAGGTATATGACGTAAAGCATGAAAACAACGGTCGACGATGTCATGGGCGAATGACAGATGCATTACTTCGAGGTTCATGGGTAGTTATAAGTAGGCTTGTAAGTAGGATACCTAGGGTTATATCGTATATTAGGGGACTTATAACCCCACTTATAACTACCCATGAACCTCCAAGTAGATGCAGCCACGCGACATCATGGCGCAAAAGAGCCTCGCACTTTCATGGGCCAGGCTCCACAACATCCGTGATAACTCTGGATACCCGCTCTCAAAACCTCATATTCAGCTGTGGAAGCCAGGAAAGCCGTAATAGCCAGCTCTTAAACCTTTCAAGGCACCTCATAAGCCCACTGGAAGCACTAAACCCAAACCCGCCCGAACACTAATGTAGGGGCCTTAACAATTAAAATAGGTTTTGGAGCCCATTGTACCGCAATTACAATAAGGAACCACCAAGATAGTATTGGTAATCATTTAAAAAGCCCCTACAGTAGATATGACACGGCTTCGACCTGTCGTCTGTAAGGTATTATACTAGTTCAGAAGGGTTTCAGTCAAGGTTTGAGCAAGGTTTCAGACGGGTGTTGGCAGGGCTTAATTAAACCTGAACAAGCTTTGACAAGGTTTCAGGAGTTCTTCAGCATGGACTGGTGGATCTTTAGTACTGGGGTCTCCTGTCTTCTGATGCTCCCATGCCGTGCTTCGGAACCGAAAGTTTTGCGCAAGGTATCTCAACCACAAAACCTCAAAAGCCCAAACCCTAAGGCCCTAAGGCTTCAACCCTGAGCCTCAAGGTCGCCCCAGGATCTTAAACCATAAAAGCCTTGGGTATTGCCCCTTGTTACTGCTGCTGCGAGGACGGCGACGACGACCGACAACAAGACTCGAGTCGGCGTTGCAGGCGACAGCTAGGATGGCAGGTGTAGGTATGTAGCGCAATATGCAGCAAAACGGATCACCCCGGCCCCGCTGTAAACACCCGACCTCGGAGAACCGCCATTGGCCGGAGCGGCGGAGATCTGACGAAGTGCAAGACAGCTGGTGTTGATTGTGACGCTGACGGTGGCAACCCGGCAAGGGTGACGACTACGATGGTGAGGATGCTGGTGCGGCAGCACTTACTGAGCCTTACTGGTTGGTCATGCAGGCTCTGGTGGCGCTGGTGATGATGGTGACGGGGGATGGTGATGATGGCTGAGGGCGCGATGAGTGCGGTGATGGTGATGCTGATGATGGCGACGCTGGCGATTCGGTATTTGGTTGGTTTCCGAGATAGCATCTTTACTAATCAGTCCAGGAAAAGCCTGAGAAGATGGTTTCGCCCAGGGCAATCTGCCATGTGAGGTGCAGGGTCTGGGTCATGAGGACGCGAACTTCCGAGAGTTTGAGAACAGAAGCCTCTGCGCTTGTTTTATACAGCAAAGTTTTGGTTATATAACTCTTTTGGGCGTGGGCGCCAAGAGGACCAGCTAGTACAATCCAGCCACAGACAATTCGACTTTCGACTCTGTCGCCGGCCTATCCCGTGTTTTTGGTCAACGTACCCGTCGTTGTACTGGAACTTCAGATTTCTGATACCTGTTCCTGTCTGCATGCCCCACACGCATGTAAGCCATTTGCAGGGGAGGCTTAAAACCCCAAAAGCGAGAACAATGCGCTTCTGAATCCGCTTCTTTCTGCAAGGAACGACAGAAGGCGCAACTTTGGGCGCCGGAGTCCAACATTTGCGAAATTGAGACTGGTCTCACTGCCGAGCAGGTTAAGGATTTGCCTGAATACTATATCACGGTGTATCTTGGCTTAAGCCTGCAAGAACTGGACATCGCGGATCAAAGGTATCATTGGGTACAGTGAAAGGCCCTGGAAACGTCTCCGCGCCGCTGGAACTTTGGGCTAAGCAACATCACGTCGATTTCTCCACCATGTCACTACCGCTAAGCCGTCCCACTTCGTCATGTTGAGGTTGTCTCACCATGACTCCTAAACTCGAACCCTAGATGCTAACCGTAGACCCCCAGAATCCTGCAGCCTTGGCCCCTATGTCCTGCAAACCCGTACGCACAAAGTGAATAACCACAAACCCATGGCGCAGGGATCCTAAACCTCTCAGCAAAGTGTGGCAGCGCGTGTGCAGCTCATGTGGTGGGACCTGCAACTTCTGCTTTGCGAAATTGGAAACCCATGTGAATCGAGCTCTTCAGGCTTCCGGGGTGGGAGGGTTTAGGAAGTTTGGGGTTATTAGGGTTTGCAGCGTTTAACATGTCGGAGCTTAGAGGTCTATGTAGGGTTCCGGACGCCGGCATAAGTTTTGCTTTACTGTACCACCATATCTAGGGGATCTAATCTTTAGAATATAGGCTTTTGGGGTAAACTATATTTTAAGAGGGAACGCGCAGGGGTAATGTTGGTGGTTGTTCAGGTCTGTTTTTAAACAAGTGAGCCCTGTGCGTTTCCGTGGCTCACTCAGTCAGGTGGCATCGAGGGTAGAGGTTGGGAAGCTTAAGGTCCTCTGCAAAACCTCTTAAGGAACCCTTCGAAAGCGCAACCACGACCTGATGCCTGGCGAGTAAAATTCTCTGCAAGCAACAAGATGAAAGCATCGCCCCAATTGCTGCAGGTTCACATATCCGAGCGAAAATCTTCACTTGCAGCCCCTCCAAAAGCCACTGTTAGACAGCGTTGCAAAAGCGACAAACCAAACCACACACGACACCCAAAGACCAAACATGAAACGACATAAACTTTACACGAAAAGCCATACAACCCCCAAACAGGACGATTACAAAATCTATCCACTTGTATCTATTGCCATCAAGTTTCGACGGCTTCCTACGAGCACGCAGACACAAAAAGTCCTACTTATGGTACATGCTACATACAATCTCACTGCAAATGTGAGTGAATGAACACGTATTCAAGTATGCACGCATGCATGTGTGATCTTTTACTTGGTTCCGCGTTAAGCGCATAATTATCGTTGCACGTATGTACATGAGCATGTATGCATATAAACATAACCGTATGCATGCGTGTGAACGCGCGTACACAATACGGTTACGTGTATGTGCGAATACGTGTTTATATATATATATATATATGTATACATAACATATATATATATATATATATATATACGTACTGGTTGAATGATTGATTGGTTTGTTGGTTGATTGGTTGGTTGGTTGATTGACTGATTGACTGATTGAGGGCTCGGTTGATTGGTTGGTGGGTTGATGTTGGTTGGTTGACTGATTGGTTGCTCGGTTGGTCGGTTGATTGGTTGGTTGATGGACGGACGGACTGACTGACTGACTGATTGGCTGATCGGTTGATTGACTGCCTGGTTGACTGATTGGTTGACTGATCTATTCATTTATATTCATATATTTGCAGTGCCCGTCGAGGCTGCTTGCCTCGTTGCGGGCTCGGCTCTGCAGCCTGGCGAAGCCGGGCGGCAGATCGACCGCGGCGCCTCCGTCGGTTTGGAGGGCTTCGTGAGATGAGGTGGCCCTTCTTTGGGGCGTTATGGGCGCCTACGGGATTTTAATGAGGGCTGTAATTATGTGGTTTGCATATAAGCTTTGGTCGGTTCTTATAAACATGTACAAACTCAAAGTCTAGAGGAGGCTCCCCATCGTATGAAACCCACCCCCGACCCCAAAACGCAATGAACACAGGTGCAGCTGCTGTCTCCTATACTAGCCCTGAAACCCTAACAGCCCCCAAAACTTTCAACAAACACAAGTGCGGCTGCTTGCCGCTGAACCCTAAGGACTAGTCCCTGATGTTGGCCTAGTAGTAACTCGAAGCCCTAAACCCCCAAACCCCTAAACCCAACCAACGTCTACTTAGTTAGAACTCTAAGCCTGAAAACCTGATGACATGTAATAGCCCTAAACCCCAAAACCTTAACTCCTAACAACATGTGAGAGGTTGTCAAAAGAGGGGTCCCTTTTTGGGCACCCTAAATAATAGGTGCCGTACTATAACAGGGACCCTAATTTTGACAACCACCCATGTAGCAAACCCAAAATCTACGCCCGGCCTGAGCCCCTCTGTACCTTCCCGGCGCTCGCGGCCAGGGCTTTCCTTGTGGAACTTTGACAAGCAGGGGTTCAGAAAAGCGCAAACCTTTCAAATGGGGCTCTGATAGGGCTCTGATAGTCTTTAGCAAGATCCTGCAGAACTCTTTTTACAGTATAAGGCTCTTCGTGTTGGGGGTGCAGGGCTGCGAAGTTCAAGGGCTTGGGGGCTTTGGGTGCGTCCGAAGCTTTCGAGTTACAGCACTCAGGACTTCGAGTTGCGGGTTTCGGTGTCTCGTGGTGAGGGTTTTGGGAGTTTGGGGTTCCGACACCCAAGAAATCCGCTTCACAAAGTCAAGCCTCGGACAAATGGCAAATTGAAAATGTCGCTTGAGTCGAGGGTTGAGGGTCGAGGTCCTACGGTGTGGTCCGCTCGCTGAGCACCAGTCGTCAACAGAAGGACGTGTTCGCTTGAATGAAGCGCACACACACACACACTTTATTCAGGAAAGTGAATTTTGGTTCCCTCCATACAGTTATCGGCTCTTTTGTCCCATGTAACAGGTATCTGCTATTGCTTCGCTGGCGGCCATGCCGGTTCCGAGATGAAGCCTCTACTTGTCTAAAGAACCGAAAGATCTTGCAATAGTATTTCCTACGTCCTCTGCGCACATCGTGGCGCCAGCACGTGAATAAATCGGGCAGACGTTATCGTCGGCGTCGTCGTCATCACGGCGGAAATCGCGTGGCAATGCTGGTGTTGGTGTTTGTGGCCATATCAAACCTCGTTTAGGTCCAAATTAAAGACTGCATAAAGCACTGCTGCACGCCAAACGGCTCAAGCATGCATAGGCGCACGAAGCCTCGACGGCCTTAAGATCTGAATCCGGCCCCTCTTCACACAGAAGTTGTTTATATTGTGCTGTAACCTATTGTCCTAGATCAAAGTTTATGCAGTACGACATCACATCACATATTCTGCTATATCTGTGTTGTTGCTATGACTGTGATCCCTAACGAAGCCGCGGTGCAGAACGGCCTCGACGCGGCAACCGCAGGGGCGCCCCCGCGGCGCGGCGGCGCCGGATGACCTGCAGGCCTTGTGCGGGCAGGAGGGCACATGAAAGATTTGGGAGCGCTTCGGATTTAGGTCTTTCAGGGGAAGTAGAACAACGCCCGCTTAACTTTCGAAGTTGCAGGCAGAGTGGCGCACCACCACCGCACCGGTCCTCGGCGCCGACAAGTCTGATGACAGAGCCCCAGCGGTGAATGTCAGGTGGTGGATCTTTGTGTCTTCAACCTTGGGTTTAGGGCAAGAACCTCCAGTCGGATTTGGGCCTTAGTGAGTCCGGGGCTAGCTATGGCACATGGTGCTATGGCACATGGTGATGAGGTAGTACAAATACTGAAGAAGAATTTCGGTCAAAGTATGTGGCTACATTATGACATAGTTAGGATAGGGACTTTGAGGGAATCATGTGACTAAGAAAAAATATCTAAGCATCTCTATATTCGCCCTCCCACAACCCCTCGTGGCCCAGCAGCGAGCTGGTCGTCTTCAGCGCCGACCGATTTCGTGGAAGAAGGTCACGCTCGTAGCCTCTCTGAGGCGCCAGAAAACGGACGAAGATCGGTATGTATGTGCGTACGTATGTATGTATGTATGTATGTATGCGTGTAACCCTCAAACCCATAAACAAGCACGAACATCACTGTTGCACATGTAATGCTTATGCCTAATGCCGCGATTAATAAGATGCGAAAAGGATACATTTCTACTCTATACAGCACCATCAAACGGGGTCTGACGGAAGCTCGGGATGCCCGTCTGGAGATGTCGGATGCTTCCCGATGCATGCTTACGTAGCTAGCTAGCCTTCCTACCCAAAATTCGAAAATCACACGAAATCACACGCATTATTGTGTTGTTGTTGGCGGCGTTGCTTTTCTTTTTCTCTATGTATGTGTGTGCATCGATGTTATTTTGTCCTACTCAAGAGTCAGGAGTAACCTAGGAAGAGAAAGGGTGCCCTTTTTGAGTTAAAGGGTGTCATAAGAGAACCTAACCTTAAAAAAGGGAACAAGGGCCTACTCTGGGTCCTAGTACTGTTGTGGACCTACGTACGAAGCAATTTATCGCTGAACGTCGTTGAGCAATATCAGACAGTGACTTACTGGTGTTTGCAAGGTCTTGAGTTTATGGATTCGTAAGGTTTTGATTTGAACGGATCTCTGCTGATGTAGGATTTTGGCTTTGGACTTTTAACCAAAATTCCACTAGGCCGCAGATCCAAACCTTAGTCTAGGCATCGGCTTTTGTTCTCACGGCCAAGCTTCGAGTGCGCTCGATCCTGAATCCTGTAACCCTTAACTCCTAGCTACCACAAGGATTACTTCGGGGATTGCTTTTTGGTGGCAGGCTGTGCGGGTTCGTTGCTCCGCATATAATATACGAAGCAATACGGGAGAATGCGATGGTACCTGTACTGGTTTATCCCACTGCCATAAGTGTCTCACATAACTTCTGAATGCTGCTAAGCGACTGTCGGAAGTGGCCACCAAATGTGGGGAGGCCAAGGGCAAGAAAGCTCCTCCGATCCACGGCATAATAGGGAAGAGGGTTGTGGGGTATGTTGTCGTAAAGTTTTGTTAAGGAACCCCGAGGACATGGTATTGGTAGTTGCTTAGGCCCCTATGTTCCGACGCAAGAACGGAAAGAATAATCAGAGTGAAAATGGTACAGATGATCAGAAGAGCAACAGTCATGGCAGCACAGCTTACAAAAGAACTCTGCTGTCCAGGGTCTGTATCAGAGTCTTTGTCGGAGACTCTTACGTTGTGAACATCACACAGTATCCCGGAGAGGCTGTACTTACTGCTCTTCTCGTGAAAATGCAAGGTACACGTGCCATCTCCATTGCAGTCCCGTGTTCCAGGCCGGCCCGAGACTCCCGAAACTGGTTTGCAATCCCGGTACATATACATATACATATATACACACAAATGTAAAGATATATATATATATATACAGAAAACATGCATGGGAACACACCTGCATATATAATATGTAAGTACGTATGCACTGGCGTACTTGGGCATATGTGTGCACCTATGTATAGTATATACATCTACATACATGCACATCTCTAAGTATGCAGGTACGGGCGGATGAATGCATGGGTGGACGGATGGATGGACTGACAACAGATAGACAGATACAGACAGACAGAGAGACAGAGAGACAGAGAGACAGAGAGACAGAGAGACAGAGAGACAGAGAGACAGAGAGACAGAGAGACAGACAGAGAGAGAGAGAGAGAGTGAGTGAGAGAGATGCATATGCCTGTGTATAAACAAAACCGCACATGTAAAAGTATACGTATATAAAAAGATATATGTATACGTTTATGTACACCAACTCGTATGTTTACGCTTACGCATTGCAGAGTAATGCTTCCGAAGGCACCGCCGAACTTGGCGCTCAGCTGCTCGGCGCGACCGCCGAGGGGAGCCCAGAGCCTCGCCCGGATCTCGGTGACTCCTTCGGGGCTCTGAAGGGGCTTCAGGGTTTAGGTTTCTTTTGTAGGGCTTTGTGGCGGTTTTGTGAAGGAGCTTATGATGGGCTTTCCGGATTTTACAGGGGTTCTACAGGGTTTTATGGAGGTTGCGCGGGCTTTCTGAAGGGTTTACGAGGTTCGCGGACGATTTGATGAGATTGAAGTCTGGGGGTAAGCTCAGTTTAGGGTGTTAGGGCTAGACGTTTAAGGTTCAAGACTCGGGGCTTTCGTGACGCAAGGATTGAAGCTGAAATCTAGAGCTTATCTCTTGCGGCGAGACCTTGCAGTACCATTGGTTCTACGAAAGACAATTGGTAGAATGGACCCTGTACGGTTTTAGAGGGTTCCATGTTAAGGTCATCATGGTGTGGTTCCGATTTTGCCGGCTACCAGAGCGCCTACCGTCAGTTTGGAACAGCCACACTTGTCACGCACTGTGCTTCCATGGGATACCCAAATGAGGGTGCTCATCAAAGTGGTCCGAGACGATCCGACAGGGATCTCCGTAACAACTCCTGCTTCCGGCACCATGGGCAGCAGTGATGATGATTAGCTGCATGGCGTGAACACTGAAGCTCATCATCGTTACCAGCTTCATCTTCACCAAAGAAACAGCTGCAAACTGTTGTAGCGATGGCAATAGCAGCAACAGCAAATCAAGCCGTGCAGGGCTCCTGGCTGTCTGGGTAAGTCCACGAAGGCGTACCCTGGGCTGGGGTGGACGACGTGTGACGCACGAGCTCAGGAAGCGAACTGAAGGCTTCGGGTTCATGTCATTTCGTGGGTTCTTTTGGGGGAACTCAATAATGTAAGTTGCCATAATCAGGACACCATAAGTTATTTGCCATACTGTTATGGTAACTTGTATTAAACTAAGTTCATTGACAAAAACCCACATGCGGGGGCTGTTGTCCGACGGCATGGTGGTTCCTAAGGGCGCCTTTTCAAACCTTGATCAGGGCAGGCAGTCCCTCTTGATCCCAAACCTTTGCAGCTCATGATGCACAGCTTACCAAGCTGAAGCCAAATGTCCCAAATGCCACCACTACACACCCCGGACAACCGATGAAAACCCAACAACCGGACCCCAGCGGCAGGTGGCAAATGTGACTTGCGGCGGTGTTGGGTTTTCCTCAAGTTACATGAGCAGTTTGCGGCAAAGATCCCGAAACCTCAGAAAGCCCTCGCGCTTCCGCCGCCAGGCCACCCTCCAGGAAATGCCGCTCCCAACCATCCAGACGCAATACCTGCATCACCAGTCCTCGGCGGGGACGGTCCGCTTACGCAGTGGTTGAGGTTTAGGGTCGATTCAGGGTTCATGGCACGCAGGGCTCAGGGGCTTAGAGAGCCCCGTGACAAGACAACTCTGTTCTGCGATTACTAAACCATTGCTGCGATGGGCACAATTCGCATTGATGGCCATGTAGTAACATCATGAACGTCAAAATTATGCTGTTAAAAAACCCAGAGTACTGCGACTCCCAATGCTTCTGCAGCTGGCGTTATCCCACCATATCCCACCGTTCTGCCTGTTGTAGGAGCAGAAGCAGCAGAAGCAGGAGTGGTAGTAGGAGTACGGTGGTACAGCAGATGCGCGAAATCTTGCACCACCCGGACATCAAGCGTCGCATCCCCTACCTAACGTTGAACATCGGGCCCCTAGGATTCCACAGCCAATGTTCCAAAGGGGAGGCGGGGAGCCAGTAAGAGACGTTTATGAAAAGTGGTGCAAGGTTTTGTCTATCCACAGCACGATTATTGAAAATTTTGGTGGAAGTGGTAGCACGACGACCACTCCCGAATACGCGACCGTAGGTTGGTTCCAAGGTGCTGGGCGGTACGGGGTCAGCCGGTGCAGGCAGCTCCACCTTCCCATGGAAGCTGCTCCGGCTTCAAGACCAACATTGGAGATTAGGCCTTCGGATTGAGGGGTCTGAAAATGAGGCTTTCGGGAGAAATCAAGATGATGAAGCAAAAGTTGCTCTGGCTGAAGACTAGATGATGATGCTGTCGCTGCTCCTGAAGAGGGGGCATGAAGCGACTTTCCTACGTTCATGTACACAATGCGGATGGGAAACGCAGTCCCTTCATCACATCTCGCATTTTTCAGACGCTGGGAAATACCTGTCAAGACTGACGACTGAGAAGAACGTTGACTTTGCGATGACTACGGAGAAATCGCGGGTCTCTCTTGATGATGATGGTGATGATGCTGTTGCTGCTGCAGCCCCTGATGTTGGTGCTGGGTGAGGTTGATTATGCCTATGATGATAGCTCTCATGTTCGTGATCATCTTCAACAATAACATCATCGTGAGGAACCGCATGATCACCACCAGAAGCCATGGTCAAGATGAATGCGAGCACGACTGGAAGCGCGACGGCCGAAATCGATCTTCTGATCGCCAGCCACTGCCTTGCTTGAGCGCATCCTAACCGCCTTGGAACTACCTTAGAGTTTTGCACATGCTCCCAATGCTACTAGTGGTATTAGTATTGTTACTATAATAAATATGATCATTACTATTAGTGTTGTTGTTGCTATTGTTGTTATTGTTGTTATTGTTGTTATTGTTGTTATTGTTGTTATTGTTGTTATTGTTGTTATTGTTGTTATTGTTGTTATTGTTGTTATTGTTGTTATTGTTGTTATTGTTGTTATTGTTGTTATTGTTGCGATTATTCGTAGCAGCAGTACTAGTAGTAGTGGTAGTAGTGGTAGTTGTTGTTGCGGTTGACTCTGCTCAAGGTTCCGACGTCGGCCTGCCGATGCTCGAGGTGCAGCTCCAGCGGGTGGTTGAAAACCTCCAGCTCTTGGGATCCCACCCGGTTACACGGATGTTCGACTTTAGGGCTTCAGATTTTGGCAGCTGGTGGGCTTACCATGGGCCTTCAGGTTCCGGGGCTCGGGCAATGCAGATCCAGAGACTGACTCCAAAAATTGATAAATGATAATCCTTGTTGCCGCGGTGGCAGAAAGAGGACAAGCAGTAGCAGCTGCGGCAGCAGAACTAGATCCGTTCCAGATACATCCAGGTCTTCCTTCATGAGCTTGACATTGTTGACAGTGTTACATCCCCAGTGAATCATCCCAAAAGCCATAGAACTTATGAACAGCAGCCGCCGACGCAGAGGAAGTGACAGTAGTAATAGAAGCAAAAGTAGTACCAAAACTAGCTCTACTAGTTACTAGCTACTTACTGGTTCCTGTACTGACAGTCCTACAGCAGCAGTTTGAATCCCAAATCCCGAATAATCGAAGCCATCGGGCATAGGCCCGCTTCGAGGTGAAGGCGCCAGAAAGAGATGCACACTGGGTACCTCAGCTTCATGCTAAAGCCTACCTAGACCCGCCAGAACCCAAAATAAAGTGGGGCGCTATGCGGGAACCGCGTTCCTGGAGGGTATTCAATAAAAACCGCGTTCTTTGATAGAGAACCTGGTTTTGGGGATGAAACCTACATTCTCATCTTCTTATCAGAGATCGATTCGTGATGATGGGGTTCAGGGTCAGTTCTTATGGGGTTCAGAGACATTCGCCAGCAGTGCTGGCTCGAAAGCTGGCCGTCTTTTGTCTCCAGATCGCAACGAATGCGCCGCAGCCCCAGCAATCCTGCGGCATGTCGGTTGATTGATGGAGCATGGAAGCCGTTGTGGGATTACGCAGTCTTTTTCACTCGAGGGCTAGGCAGGCATATAGCTGCTAGCATCATGGGCACCAACAATCGGTGCGATGTTTCGGGGCTTGCTGCTCAGTGGGAGAAAATCGAGTCGGTTCGTGAGAGAGTGCGTGGGGGAGGCTTCGCGGTGGAACCTGTAAATCCCGATGGCAGTTTGGATGCTTCCAACAAGTTGGCCATCAAGAATATTGATGTTTTGATCATGATCTTGGTACGTATGGCTGACACAAAGGTTTTGAAGGTTCCCGACATCGAACCTCTTCGGACCTCTGTTGGGGAGCTGTATGCTCTTATGAACCGAGAAGTCGATGCAGCTCGGATCGACGATGATGCCTGGGCTTTGCGGCATTTGGCCGGCTTTGTTAAGCGCAAGGCCCAAAAGAGCTTGGTGAGCCTGGCTACTCGCATGCACGACTTCGTCTCGTTCTCTCTCTCTCTCTCTATCTCTTGCTCTCTGTCTCTTTCTCTCTCCCTCTCTTGTTTCGGGCACAATACCGTCATCAATAATTAAGACCTTCAGCTGAGGACCCTGATTTTCAAGACATGTGTTTGGTCTTGAGACCCGAGCTCCAGGAGAGCTACCACCAACACCAATAGTCATGTAGCTCACAAACAGCTGCTGCCGAGATTGAGCCACGTTGTTATTGCAAGGAGCTGGTGGATGAAATCCGTGCTCGGGGAGAGGATGCTCTTCCCATGACGGCTGAAGAGGCACAGGAGCTGACCTTTAACGAGGACAGCGTGCAACTTGAGTAGTGCATGGTGGTTGCACATGGCAATTATGAGAGTCGAGCTTTCCTGCATGTGCTGGAGGACACTGGTGCTGGGGTGGGGCCAATTACTGCCCCGGAGTCGTCCGATGCGTCCCCTGCAAGCCCACCTGCTGCGATCGTGGCTACCACCAGTGAGCCCTCCACGATTGCACCGCCCCCTGTAGCGACGACGATTGCACCGGTTGCACCCGCACCTGTGGCGACGACGATTGCACCGATTGCACCCGCACCCGTGACTGTGGCGACGACGATTGCACCGATTGCACCCGCACCTGTGGCGACGACGGTTGCACCGATTGCACCCGCACCTGTGGCGACGACGGTTGCAAACCCCGACCCGACGACGGTTGCACCGGCACCTGTGGCGACGACGGTTGCGCCCGCCCCTGTGGTAGCTACAAATCCCGTGATGCCGACCACTCCGGCTGAACCTACCGAACCAGCTGCAAGCCCCTCGCATTAATAGCATCCAGTGGTGATTTGAGCATGTAGTCCATATTCATCTTACGATGATGGCTTCGATTTCTTTTCAGGTAATCCCCCAGACCGCAAGTTCCAGCTGAACATGCTTCGGGAGCAGCTGAATCAGATTCTTGGCAGGGACAACACATAACCGATTCGGTTCTGCAGTGCACATTCAATTCAAGACTATTGAGGATTCGCTTGAAGAGGAGGACTATCGATCCTACCAGTCCTGCTCCAGAGCCGCTTCCAAGCCCCACCAGCGCTGCCGGGTCAGCTTCGCCGGTCGCAGGACCTGCATGTTACTATCAGGCCAATCATGAAACTTAAGCTCTGATGTTGAGTGACAGCATTCGATTCACAGGAGTTGGTCGATCGGAGTCGGCTGAGGAGCTCGTGACCCCACCTCCGAAAGTTGCGAGAGCATCAACAAACCCTGACACTTGTGAGACTCAGCAGATGGACATCTCGATGCTGGAAACCCCGGACTTCAACAAACCGGAACGACAGCCGAGCACAGATGCTGTTGATGTCAAGCGGTGGAAGTATCAGCATCCGAATGAGGCTGTTCCGCCGGAGATTAAGGAGGCTGATGCACCGGCACCAACTTTGAGCCCACCTGAGCCCGAGCCTTCGCAGCTGCCGCCTCAGGAGGCCTGCAGTAGCTGACCGTTGTAACCTCAGTTAGTTGGGCATCATGACATGCTGTGGCTAGCAGACATGCACATTCTGATTGTGTCTTCGATTTTTTCTGGCAGGTGTTTGGCCGCCGCCAGCAGATGGGTCTCAGGAAATCCATCAAAGAGAGGAAGAAGAACAAGAAGAACGCGGTGGCCGAGGATGATGCGGAGGAGGACTGTGCTCCGAAGAGGGTTCGCCGCAAAGGCAGCAAGTCAAAGCTGAAGAGCCGCGCACGTGGCTTGAAGAAGCTGAAGAGCATGAAGGCCTCGAAAGTGGCGCTGGAGGAAGAGGAAGAAGAGGAGCAGGAACAGGAGGAAAAGGTCGAGACTGTCGCGAGCTGGAGGGATGCTCCAGAGGTTCGCGCAAGGGTCAAGACATCGGTGCCATTGCCGAAGTGCAAGGCGGCGGCCAAGAAGGGCAAGCGAGCCGAGAAGAGTGATTTCGATGCCCACCTCGACGAGTTGGCCAAGGAAGAGCCGACCTCGAAAGCTTCGAAGGGAAAAGGGAAAGGCAAGAGATCCAAGAAGGACGACCAGGCCGAGGATGGTGCCAAGAAGCCATCGGGGAAGGCCAAGAAAGCCAATAAGGATGCCGGCGAGGAGCCTGCTCCGGGGAAAGCCAAGAAGGCCAATAAGGATGCCGGCGAGGAGCCTGCTCCGGGGAAAGCCAAGAAGGCCAAGAAGGATGCCGGCGAGGAGCCTGCATCGGGGAGGGCCAAGAAGGCCAAGAAGGATGCCGGCGAGGAGCCTGCGTCGGGGAGAGCCAAGAAGGCCACGAAGGATGCCGGCGAGGAGCCTGCGTCGGGGAGTGCCAAGAAATCCAAGATTGATGCCGGCAACAAAGCGAAGGTCACGGGGCATGCCGATGATGAGACGAAATCCAGGCGGCCTACGAAGAAGGACATCGAACAGGCCACATCCGACAAAGACGACGTCGAGTACATGCTTGAGTATGCTACATCGTTCTCAAACACGAACGACATGGCCAAGCTCAAGAAGGAGGTGCGCAATTGGCTGCCAGCATGGACTTTCGTGTACCCGGACATCTACTGGACCACGGGCCAGTGCGGCTTGATCCTTTTGTGGAGTGACAAGGGTGGCAAGAGACGAAAGACCACGGTGGGCTCCTTCTCCTTCGGTGGGAAGCCTACCCAGCTCCTTGTGGCGATCTCTTGCAGCCTCTTGCTGGTGTCTTGTTTCGATTGGTTTCACGTGTCCAATTCATGTTGCGCCTTTTGCTCCTGCATCAAAACCCAAACTCAAGTTTCTGACTGCCGAGGCTTGGTATATGGAGGACCAGAACATGTACCAGGCTGGATCCAAGGAGCTCTTTTCGAAGGCTTGCTCGCTCAAGGCGTCAGCTCGCCTTGCTTTGATGCAGTTGGGTAGCGCTGAGGTGCCCGAAAAGTGACTAGTCTAGTTCCGATCCATGTTGGGACTTTTACTGGAGCTGTCGATGCACAGCAGATTGGTCAGGGAAGCAGCTTTCGCGAATTGGCCTTGATGTTCACCGCAAGCTTTGCGTATATTTTGTTTGCTATCGCTTAACCTACTAGCCCGCTACATCTACTTAAGGTTTGTAGCAAATCAATGCATCCTCGGAACAGTGCACATCAAGATCCAAAGAAAGTGCTCTTTGGGAAACCTGTCGTTGCGTGACGGGACCTCAATCCCATTCTGGGGGCTTCAAGTGCGCGAGCAAAAAGACCGAGTGCTTGTTCTACCCTTTGCGGATGTCCTGCAGATTGCTGATCCCAGAGGGAATATTCTGATCCGGCATTTCGACCCATGCAATTACGTCTTCTTCAAAGCATTGTGCAGCCCAGGTCACAACATGGATGCCTCGGCCGAAGATCTCCCACGCGAGGCGGGCCCGCAAAAGAATCGCGAAGAGGCGCCGTGATCCTGTCATGTTTGTATTTGGATTGGTGTCACAGAGGTCTATAGGGTCGGCCTCAGTCTGCGCTGAGATGCTCACACAGACACATGTGCACATGTCGTGATTGGTTCTTCAAACTTAAACTTGGAATGATATCCGAGCTTTTTCTCTCGAGTAGTCATCTGGATTGGCAAACCATGGCTTTGGAAGACGAGCTGGCCTGGAAGCTGCTTGCTTTAGGGGCACCGCGAGTGGCTTGAGCGAACATATTGTAACGTTGGCTAAATCCTGTCTCGTGCCGCAACAAACGCTGCCAAATTCTTGCCTTCTGCCCGGCTTATCCCAGGAGTTCGTGAAGATCGTGCTGCTTGTGATTTGGTCCGAGGGCAGCCTTTACAACCTTGCCCAGGCAAGGTCGGCGGGTTCGTGTGATGTGTGCTGCTCGCTGTACCAAAGCAAACCTTGAAAGCCCTCCCCGTGCAGACCTTTGAGTGGCTGGAGTTCTTTGCTGGAGCTGCGCGATGTACATCCGAAGTCAGAACACGTGCAGCTGCCGCTGCGAAATTCGATCTGATGTACAACAAACCCCGCCAAGGACGTTCGAACTTCATGGACATCAATGACGACTCGGGCTTTGTGTGCCTTGTCCGGCAGTTTCCATAGCAGCCCAGGGTCATTCCTTCAGCAACCACGGGGACACGGGGGCTTATATTAGCTCAGGGATTTAGCCGTAAATTGTGGGGTTCATTACGATTATAAATGACTACAGCAGATATACTCTTGGCAGTTCTAGTACTACTGCCACTATATACCACTGCCACTACGGCTCAATTCCACTACCGCTACT